AAGACAAGGCGCAAAATGAACACCCAAGCCCTTCAGGAGCCCTCCAGACGAGCCCATCTCCAAACAGCACTCAAGAACCATCTACCCACAGAACACCCCAAAAATGTTGAGGAACACTGGAACAAACTGAAGACCTCCATCATCACAGCCTGCGAAGAAACTATTAGATATCAAACCAAGAAACATCAAGATTGGTTTGACGAAAATGACATCGAGATCCAACAGCTAATTGACAAGAAAAGGAAAGCCTTCCAAACATGGCAGAGAGACATCAACTGTGCTGCTAAGAAAAAGATCTACGCCAGTGCAAAAGCTGAGGTCCAAAGAAGGACAAGAGAACTCAAGAACATCTGGTGGACAAAGAAGGCTGAAGAAATCCAACACCTGGCAGATACCCATGATGCTCAGGGATTTTTCAAAGCCACAAAGGTCATCTATGGACCAAGAAACCATGGCATACAGCCTCTACACTCATCAGATGGAACCAAACTTCTGAAGGACAAAAAATCAATTGCACTACGTTGGAAAGAACACTACCAAAGCCTCCTGAATGTAGCCGAAGAGGTTCTCTCACAATGTAGCTGAAGAGGTTCTCTCACAAATCCCACAACAACAAATCAGGGATGAGCTTGCAGCACTGCCTAGTTTGAAAGAAGTCAGCAATGCCATCAGCTAACAAGAAAATAACAAAGCCAGTGGACCTGTTGGGATCCCTGCTGAAATCTTTAAAGAGGACCTGAGCTCACACAACAACTTCACCAGCTCATAGAAAAAGTGTGGGTGACCGAGAAAATCCCAGAAGATTTCAAGGATCATCACCCTCTTCAAAAAAGGGGAAAGAACAGACTGTGGAAACTATCGAGGTATCTCCCTTCTAACCTCAGCTGGGAAAATCCTCGCAAGAATCCTTGCAAATCGCCTTCTGTCCTTCTCAGAAGACACCCTCCCAGAATCCCAGAACGGCTTCCGCCCCTCCAGAGGAACCGTGGACATGATCTTCACTGCACGACAGCTCCAAGAAAAATGCAGGGAGTAAAATCAACCTCTGTATATGGCATTCATCGACCTTGCAAAGGCATTCGGCACAGTGAATCGCAGCGCTCTCTGGACCATCCTCCAGAAAATCGGGTGCCCTAACAAATTTGTAAACATCCTGCGGCTCCTCCATGATGACAACTGTCTAGGGCAGCAGTAGCTCCCAAAGTGACCCATATAAGGTGGAATCAGGTATCAAACAGGGATGTGTTATTGCCCCAACTTTATTCTCCATCTTCATCGCTATGATACTTCACCTTGTTGACAGGAAGCTTCCCACTGGAATGGAAATCATCTATCGGACAGATGGCAAGCTATTTAACCTCAGCAGACTGAAAGCCAAAACCAAGGTCACAACAACATCTGTTATAGAACTCCAGTATGATGATGACAATGTCGTCTGTGCGCATTCAGAAAATCTACAAGCCACTTTAAACACCTTCGCAGAAGCATATGAGAAGCTCGGCCTGTCATTGAACATTGAGAAAACCGAAGTGCTCTTCCAGTGGTCACCAGCCAACTCCTTTCCAATGCCAGAGATATAGCTTAATGGTGTAACATTAGAAAATGTTGAACATTTCCGCTACCTTGGCAGCCACCTCGCCACCAAAGTCAACATTGACACCGAAATACAACACCACCTGAGCTCTGCGAGTGCAGCATTTTTTCCAAATGAATCAGAGAATGTTTGAGGATCGGGACATCCGTAGAGATACCAAGGTGCTTGTTTATAGAGCTATTGTCCTTCCAACCCTGCTATATGCCTGTAAGATGTGGACTGTCTACAGACGTCACATGCAATGCCTTGAACGATTCTATCAGAACTGCTTTCGGAAAATCCTGCAAATCTGTTGGGAAGACAGGCGGACAAATGTCAGCGTGCTGGAAGAAGCAAAGACCACCAGCACTGAAGCGATGGTCCTCCGCCATCAACTCCGCTGGACTGGCCACGTTGTCCGGATGCCCGACCACCGTCTCCCAAAGCAGTTGCTCTACTCCGAACTCAAGAACGGAAAACGGAATGTTGGTGGACAGGAAAAGAGATTTAAAGATGGGCTCAAAGCCAACCTTAAAAACTCTGGCATAGACACTGAGAACTGGGAAGCCCTGGCCCTTGAGCGCTCCAGCTGGAGGTCAGCTGTGACCAGCAATGCTGCAGAATTTGAAGAGGCACGAATGGAGGGCGAAAGAGAGAAACGTGCCAAGAGGAAGGCGTATCAAGCCAACCCCGACCGGGACCGCCTTCCACCTGGAAACCAATGCCCTCACTGTGAGAAACGATGCTGATCAAGAACAGGGCTCCATAGTCACGTATGGACCCACCCTGAAGGATTATCCTACTCGGATAATGAGGGATCACCTAAGTAAGTAAGTGTTTATTTATTTACTTGCCATATCCCTTATAAGGGGTTGGTTTAACCTCCCGATTTGCAAGAAAACTGAATCCATGTGTCGCAATATGATGCATGTCTAAAAAGTGTGTCACCAACATGAAATGTTTGGAAAGCTCTGGTCTAGATGGCCCGTCTAGACGGTCCATCTACACCAGGCCTTGGTAAACTCGGGCCCTCCCTCCAGGTGTTTTGGACTTCAGCTCCCACAATTCCAAACAGCCTCAGGTCCCTTCCTTTCTTTCCGCTTAAGCCAGTAGTTCTCAACTTGTGGGTCCCCAGATGTTTTGGCCTTCAACTCCCAGAAATCCTAACAGCTGGTCAACTGGCTAGGATTTCTGGGAGTTGTAGGCCAAATCACTTGGGGACCCACAGCTTGAGAACCATTGGCTTAAGTGGCTGAAGGGGAAAAGAAAAGGGCTTGAGGCCGTTAGGAATGGTGGGAGTTGAAGTCCAAAACACCTGGAGTGAAGGCTCAAGTTGGCCCAGGCTTGATCTGTACTGCAGAATGAATGCAGTTTGGCACCATGGAAATAGTATGATAGCTGGGTCCAGAAGCTCTGAGCGTTACGCTGTTTGCGCTTCGCTCCTTCGGGAGTGCTGTTTGCGCAACGCAAAACGGAAGACAGATATTATGGAAGGAATGTAAGAATTCTTTAATGATTAAACCCTAACCCTTACCACAACCCTAACCCTTACCCTAAGACCAGGCCCGTAGCCAGGATTTTGATTTGGGGGGGGGGGGGGGGGGGGGGGGGGTTGAGTCTGAGTGAGAGAGGATCTACCCTAGCAAACTTTTTGTATCGTTATCCCAATACCCCCATGCAAATGGGATATATTGTGTATGATTTTGCTTTATTGTCCTTGCAGTCATATGTTGTATGTATTTTACTGTGTTGTTATTGTGTTTGGTTTTACTTTATTGTAATATGCTGTTAGGCTTCGCCTCCTGTAAGCCACCCCGAGTCTCCATTGGGGAGATGGTGGCAGGGTATTAAATAAAGTTTTTTATTATTATTATTATTATTATTATTATTATTATTATTATTATTATATTGAGCATGGTGATCAGATCATGATATGAATAAACATAACAGTTTAAATCAGGGGTCCACAAACTTTTTAAACAGAGGGCCAGGTCACAGTTCCTCAAACTGTTGGAGGGACGGATTATAATTTGAAAAAAAAACACGAATGAATTCCTATGGATGCTGCACATATCTTATTTGTAGTGTAAAAACATTTTAAAACAATACAATAATTAAAATGAGGAACAATGTTAACAAATATAAACGTATTAGTATTTCAATGGGAAATGTGGGTCTGCTTTTGGTTGATGAGATAGGATTGTTGTTGTGTGCATTCAAGTCATTTCAGACTTAGGTAGACCCTGAGTGAGGGTCAGGTAAATGACCTTTGAGGGCTGCATCTGGGCCCCGGGCCTTAGTTTGAGGCCCCCTGGTTTAAATAATGTACAAGTAAGGACTTCTCCTGGGACAGCCTGAGAATTTCGGGGGGGGGGGGGGCTGAAGCAGCACTCTATGTGGGGGCTGCCCTTGAAGACGGCTTGGAAATTCCAATTGGTCCAGCGGGCGGCAGCCAGGCTACTTACTGGGGCGACTTACAGGGAGCGGTCAACCCCCTTGTTTAAGGAGCCCCATTGGCTGCCATTCAATTTTCCGATCCCAATTCAAGGTGCATATTTTGACCTACAAATCTCTTGGTTTGGGAGCCGCTTACCTGCGTGATCGCATTTCTGCGTCCAGCATTTATTTTAAAGTTTTTAACTATTACATCTGGCCCAGCCATAGGTTTTTAAATCTTTAAATTTTTGTGTGTTATTTTCTACTTGTGAGTTTATTGATTGTATTGTTTATCGCTTGTTGTTTTATTATTGCTTGTTGTTTTGATGCGTTCTTGGGCTTGGCCTCATGTAAGCCGCTCCGAGTCCGAGTCCCTTGGGGAGATGGTGGCGGGGTATAAATAAAAAAATATTATTATTATTATTATTATTATTATTATTATTATTATTAACCAGCCCCCCCCCCCCCCCCCCCCCCCCGCTACATGCCTGCCTAAAACTAACTCTTAACCCAAACCCTAAACCTTATCCTATCCCTCCCGTCCTTTCTATCCTTCCACCAAATGCAACAAGGAAGTATATTCCCGCCCTCAGTATGCCGCTCTCCCCTTCCCTTATTCACAACCGCCGCTGCGGAAAGTGCGTAACGCTCGGAGCTTCCGGACCAGCAATCCTACTCTCAGGCAGCGCCGATGGCTCCCCGAGCGCGCGCGCAGTATCCCGCTCACGTGACTCGCCCTCCTCCCTCCCTCCCTCCCATTAGGAGAAGTAAGCAGAAAGAGCGCTGTTGTTTTTTTTCCCCTTCCTTCCTTTTCGAACTGCCCTCCCTTAATCCCCCCACGTGACCCCCTCCCCGGAACGTGGCATTGTGTGGTCACGTGACCGACGTACGAGGCAAGGGGGAGGGGGGAAGGAAGTGGGGGAGAGAGAGAGAGTGAGCGCGCGAGGGGCACAGCGCGAGCGGGAGGGAGGGGGGCGGGGGGCGCTGCTGCTGCTGCTGCTGTGTACGCGACGGAGCTGGGTGCGAAGATGGCGGACGAGGAGGAGGCGGGCGAGCCGGGCCGCAGGAGCCCCGGCCAGGGCGGCCTTCTGAACACGCCGACCTTGAAGGCGCGGCTGGGGGAACTGGAGCGGAGGCTGGAGGAGGGCGGCAGCGGAGCGGGAGGAGAGCCGCCCCCCGGGGAAGAAGCGGCCACCGAGTACTGCCAGCAGCTCTGCCAGGTCAGGAGGAGGACGGGCCTAGTGGCGTCTCGGGGCGGGAGGGGGAGCCTGCCCTCGCTTGCTTCCTTCCCTCCTTCCTTCCTCCCTCGCGCTCTCATTGGAACTGTCTCCAGGCAAAAGCAGCCCGTTGGCCCGCCCCCCGCGGCGCCTCGCGCTCCCAGAGAGCCCTCCCTTCACTGGGGGAGGGGGAGGGCCCTCCGCCTCGGCCCCCGCCGCCTCGGGCGCTCGCTTTGTTGTGCTGCCTCCGCTCCGGAGGGGCCTTTGTTGTCTCCTGATGGCGGACCAGGCAGGAGGAGAAGGAGGAGGAGGCGGCTGTGGCGAGGGGGCTTATGGCCTCCTCTCCTCCGGGAGAAGAGGGTGGTGATGGGGGCTACGTGCAGCATCACATCTGCCTCCCCCGCCCCTCCATGGCCGCAGGGATGCCATAGGACACTCCTGGCGGGAGGGCGGCAGGCTCCTCTCCTCACTCTCCTGTGCTTCCTTCACCCCCAAGAAGGAAATAGTACACATCTGCCCAGTAGCAGAGTAAGGGGGAGCAGGGGCTTCCAGGAGACCCCCTATGCAAAACCTCAAAGACGGGAAATCCCTTCATCCATTATACTTCACCTAGACACCTCTTCATAAAACCTCAAAGATGTAAAATCCATTCATCATCATCATTATTATAGTTGTTTACCTGGACAATTCCATGCCACTTCTGAATGGAATAACAGCATATTGAGTAAAGGACGTCATGAACTTCCAGGAGACCCCCTTCTTAAAATCCCAAAGATAGGAAATCCTTTGATCCATTATTGTTATGGTTGTAATTCACCTAGGCACATTCACGCAACTTCTGAATGGAATAACAGCATATTGAGTAAAGGAGGTTACGAACTTCCAGGAGACCCCTTCATAAAACCCCCAAAACAGGAAACACTTTGATCCATTATTGTTGTGGTTGTAGTTTACCTGGACAAGTGCATGCCACTTCTGAATAACAGCATATTGAGTAAAGGAGGTCATGAACTTCCAGGAGACCCCCTTCATAAAAACCCCAAAACAGGAAATACTTTGATCCATTATTGTTATGGTTGTAGTTCACCTAGGCACATCCACGCAACTTCTGAATGGAATAACAGCATATTGAGTAAAGGAGGTCATGAACTTCCAGGAGACTCCATCATAAAACCCTAAAGACAGGAAACACTTTGATCCATTATTGTTGTGTTTGTAGTTTACCTGGACAAGTCCATGCCACTTCTGAATGGAATATCAGCATATTGAGTAAAGGAGGTCATGAACTTCCAGGAGACCCCCTTCATAAAACCCCCAAAACAGGAAATACTTCGATCCATTATTGTTGTGCTTGTGGTTTCCCTGGACACGTCCATGCCACTTCTGAATGGAATAACAGCATATTGAGTAAAGGAGGTCATGGACTTCCAGAAGACTCCCCCCCTTAATGAAATCCCAAAGATGTAAAATAAGTTCATTGTTGTTGTTGTTAGTTTGTCTGCACATATATGTCCACAAAACTTCTGAATGGAATAAAAACATGATAGAGTAAAGGAGGACAGCTGCCCACGCACTATTAAACCACACTTACTAGAAACAGTTCAAACCAGGCTGCAGTCCTTATTGTTTTGATTTTAGGTTGCCTGAAAGCAACCATACCATTTCTGAATGGAATAACAGCATGATGGAGTAAACGAGAACCTGGACTTCCAGGAGACCTCCTTCGTATAATCCCAAAAATGTAAAATCAGTTCATTCATTATTGCTATGGTTGTAATTTGCCTGGACACATCCACACAACTTCTGAACACATCCATGCCACTTCTGAATGGCATAATGGAGTAATGGAGTAATGGACTTCCAGGAGAAGCCCTTCATAAAACTCCAAAGATGAAAAATCTGTTCATTCATTATTGTTATTAAGTTGTAGTTCACCTGGACACATCCACTCAACTTCTGAATGGAATAGCAACATAATGGAGTAAAGGAAGACAGGGACTTCCAGGAGACCCCCTTTATAAAATCCCAAAGAAGTAAAATCCATTCATCCATTATTGTTATGGTTGCAGTTCACCTAGATATGTCCACACCACTCCTGAATGAAATAACAACATAATGGAGTAAAAGAGGATATGGACTTCCAGTAGACCCCCTTCAAAAAAAAACCCAAAGATGTAAAATCCAATCAGTATCCTTATAGTTGCAATTTGCTTGGACACATCCACACAACTTCTGAATGGAATAACAGCAAAATTGTGGAAAGGAGGACATGGACTTCCAGGAGCCCCCCCCCCCTTTCATTAAACCACACTTACTAGAATCAGTTCAAGTCAGGCTACAGTCCTTATTTTGATTTTAGGTTGCCTGAAAGTGTCCATACAACTTCTGAATGGAATGACCTTTCTTGATTTCTGAACTTAGTTGGATCTATCAATTTGTGTTGTCAAAGAATCAGATCTGTACATGATAACCTGTCAGGGTATATACTAGTGTGCTTTGTGCTGGTTCAGATGTGAGGATTTACACATGGGCACTTTAACCTCCAATCATAACTCATTTCCTTAAACACTGCAAGACTTCTACCTGTTCACTTTTGTGCAAAAGCAGTTTGCAAAGCTTTCATAAATAACATTTCAGGTTGTACAGATTTGAGCATCCTCTTATTCAAAATGCTTGGGGAAAGGTGTTTTGGATTTTGGGATATCAGTATTTGCATATACATACAAAAACACATACACATGTGTTTGTAAATGAGAAATCTTGAAGTTGGGACCCATGTCTGAACACAAAATGCATTTATATTTCATATATACCTTACACATATAGCCCAAAGATAATTTCATACATTTTTTGCATGGCATAATGTTTATTGAACCATCAGAAAGCAAAAATGTCACTATCTGAGCCAGCCATGTTAACAATTTCTAATTTTAGAGTAGTGATATCTTGGATTTCTGGATAGGGGATGCTCAATCTATATCAATCAAGGTAAATAAAGTGTTGACAAAAATGAGAGTCATGGTTTCTTCATCATCTCATTCCACTGACAATATACAAATGTAGGGTTTATAATATCTGTCATTGCTAAAGAGAGTATGAATTATATTAAATACTTTTGAGCATATGTCCAAACATTTAGCAGGGCAATGTGTTTAAACCTTTAAATTGAAAATTGATACAAATCTGGAACTGAATCTGTTAGATTCAAATTCATAGCCATAAACACACTAAGTATAGGTTGAGCATCCCTTGTCTGGAATATCAGAGATTTTAAGTGGCTATGATAGTGACACCTTTGCATTTCTATGGTTTAGTGTATCGTAGGACAAAATTATTTCAAATATTGTATAGAATTACCTTCTGGTCCTATCTTCGAGTATTTCATTGTGTATTCATATGAACATAAGTGTTTAAAAGAATCCTAGATACAAAACACTTTTGATTTCAAATAAGGGATACTCAACCTATATTTGTGAAAGATGAATATTTATTTATTTATTTATGATATTTATATGCTGTATTCTCACCCCAAAGGGGAATCTGCTCTGCAAAAATTGTAGAACATGGGCAAATCTCGGGTTACAGATCTGGAAATTCAGATCTTATTTAGCATTGGAGATTTAGAAAACAATAAAAACATAGCACAAAGGTATGATGTTGGGGGAAAGGTCCATGCTTTTTCAAGCAAGGAGGCACATAAAATGCTATAGCAGATTGCAGCGATCAACATTCAGTGTTAGTTTCAACTAAAGTAGTAACGTTGAAATTAATTTCTTAATCACCATTTATGTATACCCATTGATTTTGTTAGGTCTGCTACAAAGGTAGCTAACATGCTACAATTTAATTTGATAAGTTCCATAGCAAATGGAGCTGAGCCCGTCTTTTGTCCAGGAGACAATATGTCTTTATTTAAAATATTGAACCCTGTATTTTAAAATGTAATGCAAAAAATAGTTTTTAAAGGAGAATTTGAATAAATATGTATATTTTGTAGTATTGTCCTTCAGCAATTGTTTTGTTGAATTTTCAGAACATAAATGTTTGCACTGGAAATAAATTGTTTTAAACAAGGATCAGATTGTATGCTTGGAATAAGAGTATTGGTGTATGATTGTGCTAAAAATGATCTATTGGTCCATGGGACTTTATCACACGATAGGTTTGTTGCATGATTGCACTGGCTTAGTTCTGTTTTGATTTCTTGTTGCATGGCATCATGACTCTCCTGTTGTTGCATTGCATTTCTATTGTTATTGGATCACATTTTTTTCATTAGTGGGGAAAAACCCATTCAGGTCTTCAATATTGCTGCTGTTCAGCTATTGTTGACCATTTTGTTCCACTACAGTTCTGATATTGCTGTGATCATATGGTAGGAGTGGCAGTGGTTCTCCTTTCTCCCCTTTCTATCCACAGGCAGGATAAGGTCACTCTACTACCAAGTGTCTGGACAAAGACATTGTGGTACCCAGGAACAGTGTTACCTTTACTCCGTTTCCTGTTTCTTATTCATTTTGTTTTGCTGTAATGTTGTAAATGTAGCATGCCACAATTACAATAGGGGCTTCCATTTGGGAAAAGTGTCATAACAGTGAAGTTGCAGAATTCAAACAGAACTATTCAGTAGGGTGCATGTACTACCTAGGACGAACATTGGCAAGAAGGCAGGTTCAAGGAAGGCAGAACAAGTCTAATTGCAGGAACATTCTTCACCAAAGTGGCACCATAGCAGTCTTAGAGAGAAAGTATGAAAGTGATTATTTCCATACTTAAACATTACAATTGGCATGAGAACAGGCCAGTATGATAAAGCCCATGTCTTAATGTTACTAAAAATGGCACTTTTAATTGCAGATAGTTTGTTTTGAAGGGATACTATGCATTATTTAGCTTCATGATAATGAAATGCGCTGTTCATCATGCACCATGCCACATTGGTGGATTTCAGTAGTGTGATGATTCAACTGACTATATGAACCATAGTAGAATATTGTAACATA